GGGGGGTCACAACCCATAGGTTGAGAACCATGGCTCTAGAGCAAGAACACGTGGAAACTGGTACATAACAGGAACTTTATGTTACATATGCAATGAACCATTTGGAAGGTTTTGTTTTTCAGAACAGTCAGTCAGGAAACACTTCAGTTCAAAATCACAGCCCAGGAGCTGAGGGTAAAACTCGGCAGTACAGCACCAGGCACTGGCCTGGGCTCCATCCTGTCACATTATCTGCAATTCTGTTCCTAGGATTACAGCTTGATCATCAGTTCAGCTGAAGACATGGACAGTGGTCAAAGTATGTTATCAACTAAATCTGGCTGCTGTGCCTCAGTTTCTTCATTTGTAAAAATGGAGATAATTGTTCTTACATGGAGTTGAGATTAGTGAGTTATGGTGCTTAGCTATGACCTGTAATGAGCACTTCTTAAATCTTTACGCATATGATATTTATCAACGTAAATATGCTAGTATTTGGTAATCAGAGAATGGTCTGCAGTTCAAAGTGGCAAGCTTAAGTTAGTGGTTTTTAGATATAATAAATGCTTTCAGACATATTCCACAATACTCATAAGTCATGTTCTACTTAGTAGATACTTCATGTTAATACAAAATAGGAAAGGAAATTTAATCATACTGGGTCAAATAAAGTTTCAATGTCAACATGATTTCTCTCTTCAGGACTTTTGCGTAAATATAGTTATATTTTAAATAAAAAAATATATGCTTTGGTCAGTGGTTTTACATATAAAGGTTTAGTAAACCTTTCTACTAAACCCCAAAGTGAATTTCTATGAAGCTGCAAATGATAACATCAAAATATATCAAGTATTGACATTAGAAAGGTAACTTTTCAAAAGCATAAAACTCATATGCATAGGATGAATTAACGTACCTCTCCAACATATTCCATGACAAAACTCATTCTTTTAATCTTCACAAGGGTTTTTACACCCCAGCCACAGCCATTGCTAGTTCTAAAGATGCACAGTGAATATTGTGTGCCTTTTTGTACAATCCTATTGGGACAATCAGGTCCGCATCGGCATCTTGAATTGCATTCATAGATGGGAGTGCCAGGTTGGATTTTAATTTGCTGGTTTTTATTATAAGCCAAAACAACTCCAGCTTCAGCAGGACAACACTTTTCAAAGAAGCAGTCTGTACATGAACACCCAAAGGTAGCTTCACTGTTTAAGCTGATCCCTGGAGCTGGCCTATATTCATTAATGTAGTAGAAGTCTGAAGGCGGGCCCTCCAAGTCAACAGTATTTTCAACAAATATCATCCCTTTGTGGTTCTTTCTTCTGTTGAGGTAATCTTGCCACCTTTGCAGAGCTATTCTTTGCTTGGCTTTCTTTACAATGTACTCAGCAACAGCAGGTTTCAAGAATTTCTTACTGTTTTTTGAAGTAATTGCATTGCCTTTCTTTTCCCTAGATAAGTAACTATTTTTGTCACTAGAGAACTGCTGCAGGAGTTGTGGACACTTGAGGTTTCTCAAGGGCTCCCAAGTATTTGTAGACTCTGGCCATCCTTTCCATTTTACAAGATAATATTCCTCATCCTTAAAATAGAAAAGAAAATACAAATCAGATTATGACAGTCTCTATAATGGCATTTCTTTTCATTCAAAATATGTAGTCACAAGTTTCGAAGAGTAAAGCATGAGTCACACAAAAAGAACTTTTGTATACTCTCTGAAACACAGGATTTAGTGGAATGTAACATCTGACAATAGGTCAAAGAGGCCTATCTAGGGAAAGATAAAGGCACTGAAACCTATGGCTGTTTTACTAAACAGTATTAGGTCAAAGAAGTGTTTACCTTGATCATGGAAACAGGTGGTCCCAAAAGTGAGTATTAGGCTAGTAGCAGATATGGCCAGCATAGTTGTAGGCATTCTCTAAGGGCTAGAAGTTAATGATGTTCACTGGGCATGTGGGAACTTCATCCTCAATGTCTTGGCCACACATGCCTTAGATGTTCTAAAGATAAGCGGATAAAGTCACTGCTAGGGGCTGGAGGGATGGCTCGGTGTTAAAAGCACTGGCTGCTCTTCCAAAGGACTCAGGTTCAATTCCCAGCACCCACATGGCAGCTCCTAACTGTCTGTCTGTAACTCCAGTTCTAGGTGATCTGACATCTTTACACCAACGCACATACAATAAAATTAAATAAATTATTTTTAAAAAGTCACGGCTGGCCACACATAGCTAATAAGAACTTGAAATGTGGCTACTCTCAAATGTATACTTTGTTATTAAGTACAACACTGAATTTCAAGAATATAGAGGGAGGACAAAATATCTTTACCTTTAAAAAGTATGTTGAAAATTTACATATATTTAATCAAACATTATTGAAACCAATTACTATTGTGGATGTGGTTACCAAGAAAATTAAAGTGACACTGCATCTCACATCATATTTCTAAAAGACATTAATGTTCATCAATGCTGACCTCATTTAGAGAAACCTATGAGCAGTCTAAGTAGCAGGCATGAAGGACAGCAAAGATCCACCTAGAATGTTACTGGCCATCATGGTTTCTGAAATCTCTTTATACACAGTGACTGTTTTCTTTCTTTAAGGTCATCAGATGCCATTGTTAAGGCAGTTCATATACAAGAGTAAATTCTAAATGATGTCTTTCAGTAATCAGTTCTTTGTCTAAGAAGACAAAGAACGAGCACATATCCATGGGCCCTAAAGTAAAGCTCAGAAATGCTCCTGAAACAATGAAGTGGGAGGCTCAATAGTTAAGAGCACTGGCTGTTCTTGCAGAGGGCCTGAGTTCAATTATCAGCCCCCACATGGCAGTTCACAACTTTAACTCCAGGTCCAGAGGTTCCGACACCCTCACACACGCATACCTGCAGGCAAAACACTCATGTGCATAAAATAACTAACTATCAGAGCGACTGAACATCATCCTCTGTTTTTAAAATGTTTACATGACATCTATTTCTGTGAATGCACAATCTTGTGTGGGTGTACATGTACCATAGTACATACATGCAGGCTGATGACAACATGTAGGAGTTCTCTATTTCCTCCACCAGGTGGGTCTCAGGGATTAAATTCAGGGTGTCTACCTTGGTGGTAAGTGCCTCTACCTACTAAGCCATCCTGCTGGCCTGCTGTTTTCTTAATTTGTAGATAATAAAAACCTTTTTATTGCAATAAATTTGCCTATGAAAAATTAACTTTTAATATAAAGCAGGGATGGACATAATAGTTGTTTTACTACCTATTACTCCCTGCATACACATAGTACTAGAGCTCAAACTCTGGGCCTGCCACATGCCAGGCAAGCATTCGCACTGAGTTATAACCTCTTCCCTAGCCCATGATTTCAGGACAAACGACCTATGATGTTTGGCATATTGCTAAGGTACAAAGTGGGTTCAAAAACAGTTTCACAGGGTGCTGGAAAGATGGCTCTGCAGTTAAGAGCTAGCTGCTCTTCCAGAGGACTCAGGTTCAGTTCCTAGCACCTGTGTGGCAGCTCACAACTGTCTGTGACTCCAGTTCCAGAGGATCCCACATTCTAACACAGACATTAATGAAGGCAAAACACTAATACACATGAAATAAAAATACAGAATAGTTGCACACCTTAATTTAAGATATAGTTTAATTTTATGTGCATTGGTATGAGGGTGTCAGATTTCCTGGAACTGGAGCTACAAACAGTTGTGAGCCACCATGTCAGTTCTGGGACTTGAACCCAAGTCCTCTGGAAGAGTAGCCACTGCTCTTAACTGCTAAGCCATCTCTCCAGCCCCACCTTAATATTTTATTTCACCCTATTCATCCATCAGTAATTCATATGAACTAAAAGAACACAGTTTCATTTTGAAAATGGTTCAAAATATGTGCTTTTTTCTGTTACACTGTGTTTAGAATCTGAGGGCATACTGTACACACACTATATTTACATGTATGTATGCATGTATGTTTGTATGTATTGTCACTTCAGAAAGGAGAAATAGAAAGCCTGGATATACACCAAAGTGTGTCAAACTGAGCCTCACTAAGGCCTAAAGATTTCTTCTTCCAGTCAGGTAATGATAAGTTGGGACTGTTGGTACCAGATCTACTTATACCAAAGTAGATACGAGATCCAACTGTCACTGTCTGAACTCATCTATTCCCCATAATTCTTATGTTTTGGATTTTGATACCAGAAGGCGGCAAAGCAACACTGGTCCTTTTATTGCAGAAAACAATGTAAGTACTGGCAACAGGTTGCATAATTAAATTACCACCTGAATAAAACTAAAACATCTATTACTGCCCAAATAACTTACTGTATTGGTTAATTTTGGATAAGTCAGTTGTATTTAAAATGATCAAGGATTATATATTAATAACTTGGTAACTACTCAATTTATGCACAGTAAATATACTTAAAAAAACAGGATTGATTTTGAGAAAACAGGTTGGAAATATTTTATTTCTGGTTTAAAGTCTATTTTATAAGCCTATTTTATTTTTAAAACCCTAAAAAGGAGATTTCTGTTTTTGAAAAACTCAGATTACTTTATTAAAAAAACCACTGGTTTTAAGGCAATTTTAATTAATTCAATGGCTTACAATTACAGATAAGAGCCAAAAAGCTTTTATAATACCTAGGAGGTATGATGAACTACAAGGTAAAATCCCTTTGGGAAAAATGACAATATGTGAAATAAGGATCAATGGAAGGCATTTCAATTTTAAATACCAAAATAACATAACCAATACTACTAAACAGAAAGAAAAATTGGTATAGGTCACATAATTTTTAAAAAGTACAGAGAAACCAGAAAGAACTATACTGTCAAAGACTGACAGAATATTTTTGTGCATAGAACACAGTAGGCTAGATAAAAGACAGAAGCAAAAGCTGTAGCTTGTAATGAAGCATCAAAAAACAGTTAAGTGACGGATTTGTCCAGTTTTAGGCTGAGAATGTTAAATAGATTAAAACTACAACTCTAATGCCAACAAGTAATTGTAGACAACCCTACGCACTTGGCTAAACTTTATTGTTGGCCTCTCCAAGGCCTCTTACAATTCTTAGAAACCATGAAGCTTAAACGAACATGCATTTCACTCCACTTCATAATCTACCAAACCAACTAAGTCTTCTGCCCTCAGCTAACCTGACTTTCCTATAGCAGCAGCCACAACTTTATATGCCTTAGGGGTCAGTGTATGATTTTCTCTGTATTTTTGTTCTTTCTACTTTCTTCATTGGCATGGCTTCTTGGCTCCTTTTTATATTAAATAGGTGTATTATCTTTTTTGAGAATCTGAGAAAAGCTACAAACCTAGGTCATATAACTCTTTGGGTAACTCCATGTTACTGAAATTCCAGCTTTAATGCTCTCTCTGGGAAACCTTAGCACCTAATTGATGATTGTAATAATTATATGCTGATGATTCCCAAGCTTTAACTGCTGTTTGTATATTCAATAGCTTCCTAATGCCCAACCGATGTGCAAAAAATTCACCACTGCTTTTCCTAAGCAGATTCTTTCTGTATGACTCATCAAGGTGAATCTTTTCTACCTACTGAACAAGCTGAAAAGCAGTAAACTATCTTTTTATAAATTATTTTTTTTATAATTTATTCACTTTACATTCCAACTGTAGCCCCTTTCCTCATCTCCTCCTGGTCCCACCCTTTCCCTATCTCCCCCTTCCCATTCTCCTCCCCTATTTCTCAGAAAGGGGGAGCCCTCCTCCCCTACCATCTGATCCCAGACTATCAAATCTTGTTAGGACTGCTTGCATCCTCTTCTTCTGTGGCCTGGCAATCCCTCCCCACCCCCCCCCACCACCAGGGGGAAGTGATCAAAGAACGGGTAACAGAGTCAGCCCCCACTCCCCTTACTCACATGGTGACTGAGCTGCCTATGGGCTACATCTGAGCAGGGGGTCTAGGTCCTCTTTATGCCTGGTCCTTAATTGGTGCATCAGTCTCTGCAGGCCCCATGGGCCCAGATTTCTTTATAGACCAGGTAGGCTATTTTTAATTCCTTCTCTTTAATCTAGTCCATCACCAAGTTTTATTAAGGATGGGCTTCTTCCTACTCATCTCCATTACAAAAGATTAGTTTACTTTTGGCTTTGATCTGGGTTATCATACTAATTGCCCACCTGGCTTCTCTGCCTCCAAACTGGTAATACTCCAATCTGCCCTCCATGATGAAAGCATAGGGTTATTTTATAAAAACAGAAAATCCACAGAACCACTTACTACTCTATTGTGTTTTGCTTGCAAATTGTTGCAAGTTTTTCGGTTGCCTACACATTGCGGTTCAACCTTCCTTTGATAACAAAACTATTCTTAATCTGGTTGCGGGGGCAGGGTACCATCACAGTAGAATGCTTGCCTAACATGTCCAAGCCCTGGGATCCACTCCCAAGAACACAAAACAATCCCAAATTCTTCCTCAGTAGGGTGTTCACATCTATAGTCCCGGCCATCCAGAGATGAAGGTGTGAGGATTATTTGAGTTCACAAGTTCCAGCCTAGGCAACACAGCAGAACTATATCTAAAAAACGAAAAG